ATCGAAACTAAGACTTATCGCTTGCTGCCACCAAAACTTGTACTCTATCTATATAACAAACGGTCTATCTAAAGTATCTCTACAACCTAAGAAAAAAGAAAAAAAAAAAAAAAAAGGAGAAAAAGAAAATAGTCCCAATATCAAAATCTTATTGCACACTTAGCGAGATCTAATCCTAAGGGAAGAGCTCGAAGGCGAGACCATCTTTCTAGGAGGGTACGATAAACGCACGGACGAAAAGTCCTCCGCTTTACCCGGAGTGCGTGTCTCGTCTCAATGTATACGAAATTCGACGTATGGAACACCCGGAAAGATTCAAAAGCGCTCGGCTACTACTCGACTCGTCGGTCGTTGCGTTCTCCGATTCTTCCAATGTCGACGTATTCTTCAGGATGATAGAGAAGTCGATAAAAGAGATAATCATCTTCAACCCCACGCACATCGAACGAGATCTTTGATACTTGATATCAGGATGTCTCGGATAGCCGCAAGTTTCGAGCCTCTTTCTCTCCGGTAACGTCGAAATTTTATGAAATTTCTATTCTTCTCAGCGTCGTTCGCAACAAATTTCCCCAGCAAATTTCGCCGAGTCGTCCGGAGGTTGTCGTGGACCGCCTCCCTGGCGCTTGGACTTTGCTTTGGAGTCTCGACTTTATCGCGTTCACATCTTTAAACACGCGTCGCGACGCACGCAGTCCTTTCCCCCTCCCCGTGCACGGCTTAGTTCGAAAATAAATTCTATTTTTCGGGTCTACGGAGGCGTGGGGATCTTCCTCTGCGGTGAACGTGCGACAATCTCGTTGTCGCCGGAACGCCTCTGCGAAGCACAGGTTCGAAGTAAAAATTTCGAAACGTTCCCCGGGACACGTAGAGGATCTGCCTGTGTACATATTGCACTATCGATGAGTTAGATCAGAGCGGAACTGGCACCTCGCGAACCGGAGAGAATCTCTCCTAACGACACACTCTCCCCGGAGTACTCCTCTCGTTTCCTAGAATCTCTCGGGGGAGGGAAAATCCTCTATCTCTTCTATACGACCTTTCTCTCTTTCTACTTCAGAACCGAGTTATAAGGAAAGAGATCAGGCGCTTGTCGCGATGGAAAACCGACCGACCGGCCCCCTCGTCAGCTTCTATTTCTTTCTCTCGCTCGCACTTTCTCTTTCACATTTCTCTCTCATTCATCTCGCCTC